CTATTTGGAGATAGTAAGGATTGTGGTCAGAGTAGCTCCCACAAAATACCTAGTCTTCGAGAGTTAGAAGATAACTTCCATTCTCCACTAATCACTGTTTTCACCAGAGCTTGAAAAATAACTGCCTTGCTGTAACTCCCATCCTACTGGCCTGCTTTAGGGAATCTCAAGGACTCCACTGAGGTGGAGAATGACAGGAGAAAGACGTACCCAAGTGTGTGTTAAGAAGGCGTGGAAAATTGACATCAGTCTCACTTACTTAAAAGGCAACCAATGTCCAAAGCAAGTCTTAGCTTAGAAAACTAGACAAACTTCTCTTTCTAGAAAATACTTTACCCTGAGCATTGAGGAGAATGTGATAAGCCAGCACAGAAATAGTCAAGGAGAATAATTTCATTCTCTTTAACTCAATCCCACATTCCAAAGACAAAATAGCTGAGCATGTTACATAAAAACATTTCCTGAGATCCATCCACCAAGAGATGTATTCCCAAAGAAGACCGTTGTTAACAGCAAAATCTTAATTGTAATAGAACTCTACTACTGAGTTAAATTTCCTTACAAATCTACAATAAATTCCTGAAACAAAGACTAAAATTACTAAGTATAGCTGTTGTTTAAAAATGATATTAAAAAGTAGTATTTTATAGTTGAGTACATTTTGGGGAAGTAGAAGCTGATGGTAACCACTGGATTGATACGATTGTGATCTGGTTGCCCTCCCTCAAGCATCACAAGCCATAGAGAATCTCTAACTCGTGACAACTGCAATACTGGCTTGATTTCCCACATCTTCCCTTGTAACTCCGTAGGGTCCAAAGTTGAGATTCTCCTCCCTGTGCAAGGCTTTGGGGATGAACTTCCACAGAGTCTCTTACTTCATTCTTTCCCCTCCACCTTTTTCACTTCCCACTGTCTATCTCATGACTCAAGTTTCCCCAAACTTATGCTAGTTTTAGGTGTTCTGTCTCTCTTGGCATATAATGAGCACCTATGAAATTGTATTGCTGGAACTGAATCATTTCTTGTACATACACAGTGCTGCAGGTTTTGATTATCACTTAGAGATACAGGGTCATGGTCTTTTCCACATCATCCATATAAAAAATATCTAGAACCGCTAAACAAGATCAACATTTTTTTCTGCCATTTTTCTTTTATTTATTTTCATAAGCATTATTTCTTAACATCTGTTTTCTTAAAACCTGCTTTTAGAATCTTTAAGTCCAGAATGAGTCAGCTTTCCAACTTTTGGGGGAAACTCTTTGCTTTCTTTAGAGTTAGGGGACCTGCAGCAACTTGTCTATAAACTGAAATAAATTTCAGGTGACATATTTTTAGCATCAACTAGAAGATCAATGATCTAGGGCAGCATGTCACGTCAACTCAAATTATAACTAGTGTCTGAAGTTAAATGTACACTAACTACAGTGTTTAGCTATTTGGACCCATTTCTTCAAGATCCGAATCCCTGTCCAGTTTACTAAATGGGTAACTCCCTTCCTTCTCCATCCTCTATTTCTATCCTGCGTGGGCAGAATGTTTCAGTTAATTGTTTGCAGGTAATTTGATCGTTCATGGTGGCCTACTGGAATGGCAGCAAGAATAGACTATTACCAACCCCCAAATAAGTGGCAAATGCTTGATAAGATCAGTATAATATGAATATCTCCTCTATTTTACTCACATTAGTGGGGATTCTGTCTAAAACATTTGTATTTATTCTGAAGCAGATGGCTAACTTTCAAATGAGGAGAATGAAATACAATTCACTAAAATACTAAAGGTACAGTGTAATGAGATGACTCAAATGGACTTAAAGTATTTAAATATTTCTTAGAGATACCATTTTGAATATAAAATCTCATTCTATTATATGTGGGCAGAAAGGAGGTTAAAATGCTTCTTCACTTGTTGGAATGCCATAGCTATCATTTTCTGCTTTTAACATTTTAGCAAATAATTTAATTAATATAATTTGTGTTTTCTGTCCTCAGACTTTTTATTAAAAAAAAATTGTTCAAGTTCTTACATAAAACATGTTTCTTTATGCTTTGATCAGTCTTTATAACTATAGGTGCATGTGAATTTTCTGCTCATTTTGGACCATATATGGCAGTATTCAATGAAAATTGGTCAATTGAATTAAATTTATAGAAAGAAGCTAAGATTTTTACTTAAAATCTTACTTCATATTACATTGAATTAATTTTTAAAAATCAATTAGGTTAAAATTAAACTGAAATTTTAAGACTTTATATAGGTAATGAAGGAAATATTATTTTGGAAGAGAAAAAATATTCTTTTTCTCAAAGTACCTTATAAAGTTTTATTTAAAATCAATCTTACATTATTTGCCATTACTTATCATTTTTTAACATGAGTATCTATAATACTATTCAAAAATATATATGGGTAATTTGTTTTTAATGTTATTCCTTATAAAGAGATACTTCTATTATTTAAATTGTTTAGACAATCTGATTTCCAACATAAGAGACATTAAAGTAACTATTATAAGCTTTTTCACTTCAAAGGAAGAGACAAAAATCACATGATCATCTCAATAGCTGCATAAAAAACATTTAATAACATTTAATATACATTCATGATAAAAAAAAAAACCTCTTACTAAAGTGGTTATAGAGGGAACATATCTCAAGATAATATAAGCTATTTATTACAAACCCACAGCCAACATAATACTCAACAGGGAAAAGTTGAAGATCTCCCCACTAAAATCTAGAAAAAACAAGGATGCCCACTCTCACCACTTCTGTTTGACATAGTATTAGAAGTCCTAACCACAGCAATCAGACAAGAAAAAGAAATAAAAGAAATCCAAATTGGAATGGAAGAGGTAAAATTGTTACTCCATGTAGATGGTATGATACTACAGATAGAAAATTCTAAAGATTCCACGCAAAAACTACTAGAACTGATAAATGAATTCAGCAAGGTAGCAGGATACAAGATTAACATACAGAAATCTGTTGCATGTCTTTATACTAACAATGAAAAACCAGAAAAGGGAAGTAAAAAGTCCCCTTTAGAATTGTATCAAAAAATGCTTTGGAATAAACCTGACCAAGGAGATGAAAGACTTATACACTGAAAACTATAAGACATTGACAAAGGAAACTGAAGGTAATTTAAAGAAATAGAAATATATCCTATGCTGTTGAATTGGAAGAATTAATATTATTAAAATGGCCATGCTATTCAAAGCAAGCTAAAGATTTAATATGATCCCTATCAAATTACCCATGACATTTTTCACAGAGCTAGACAAAGTAATCCTAAATATTTATGGAATCACAAAAGACACAGAATTCCCAAAGCAATACTGAGAGAAGAGAACAATGCTGGAGGTATAACACTCCCAGCCTTCACACTACACTACAAAGTTATAGTAATCAAAACAGCATGGTTTATTGGCATAAATACAGACACACAGATTTATGGAACAGAATAGAAAGTCCAGAAATAAACCCATACACCTATGGTCAATTAATTTTGGACAAAGGAGGCAAGAATATACAATGGAGAAAGTCTCTCCAGCAAGTGGTATTGCAAAAGCTGGACAGCTGCATGAAAATCAGTGAAGTTACAATACTCCCTCACACCATACACAAAAATAAACTCAAAATGGCTTAAAGACTTAAACATGAGACAGGAACCACAAATCTCCCAGGAGAGAACACAGGCAAAGCATTCTTTACCATAACTCATAGCAATGTTTTCCTAGGTCAGTCTCCCAAGGCAATAGAAATAAAAGCAAAAATAGACAAATGGGACCTTATCAAACTTATAAGCTTTTTCACTGCAAAGGAAACCATCAGCAAAATGAAAAGACAACCTATAGACTGGGAGAAAATATTTGCAAAAGATGCAACTGACAAGGGCCTAATTTCCAGAATATAGAAACAGCTCATACAACTCAATAACAGAAAAACAAACAACCAATCGAAAAATAGTCAGAAGACCTAAATAGACATTTCCTCAAAGAAGACATTCAGATGGTCAACAGGCACATGAAAAGATGCTCAACATTGCTAATTATTAGACAAATGCAAAAAAAACTACAATGAGGTAGCAACTCACACCAGTCAGAAAGGCCATCATTAAAATAGTCCACAGACAATAAACTCTGGAGAAGTTGTGGACAAAAAGAACGCTCCTACACTGATGGTGGGAATATAATTTGATGTAGCCACTATGGAAAACAGTATGAAGATTCCTTAAAAAACTAAAAATCGACTTATCATATGATCCAGCAATGCTACCTCTGGGCATAAATCTGGAGAAAACTTTAATTCAAAAAGATAAATGCACCCTGATGTTCATAGCAGCAGTATTTACAATTGCCAACACATTTCCATGGACGGACGAATGAATAAAGAAGATGTGGTATATATATATGTATGTGTATGTATATATACATACACACACACACACACACACACACACTCACACATATACAATGGGATACTACTCAGCCATAAAAAAGAGTGAAATAATGCCATTTGCAGAAACATGGATGGACCTAGAGATTATCATACTAAGTAAGACAGAGGAAGACAAATATCATATATTATCATTTATATGTGGAATCTAAAAAAAATGATGCAAATGAACTTATTTATAAAACAGGAACACTCACAGACATAGAAAACAAATTTATGGTTACCAAAGGGGAAAGGGGGGAGGGATAAATTAGGAGTTTGGGATTAGCAGATACAAACTACTATATATAAAACAGATAAACAAAAGTGTCCTACTGTATAGCACAGGGAACTCTATTCAATGTCTTATAATAATCTATAATGAACAAGAATATGAAAAAGAATATATCTATGTATAACTGAATCCCTATGCTGTACACCAGAAACTAACAATATTATAAACCAACTATATTTCAATTTTTAAAAAATTGAAAAAAATACTTTGCTTAGTAAGAGGCACTATAATATCACATTCAAAAGTCAACAGGTACTTACTGAGTATGAGTGCAATATTCCAGGCACTTGAGGTGTACCACTGAACAAGGAAGACAGACATCTCTGCTCACGTGGGGCTTATAGTCTAGTAAGGAGAGAGAGAATAAAAAAAAAAACATGGTAAGTAAGCAAATTACATGGCCTGTTAGAAGGTTGTAAGCGCTAAAAAAGAAGAAACAGAGCAAGTTAGGTGGGAGGAGGGGAACGAGACTCCAAGGTGTAAGGTGTACATTTCAGTAATAAGTAAGGTGCTCAGTGGGGGGTTGCCTCATGAGGCAGGTGACATCTGAAAGAGATAAAGAAAATTAGCCAAATGGTGATTTAGGGGAAGGGTATTCTTGGAAGAAGAAACAGCTAGTGCAAAGGTCCTAAGGCACAAACAGGAATGCCAGTGCAGCAAAAACATGGTGCCTGGAGGGGTAGTATATGTGGTCACGGAAATAACTGGGGCCAGATTTTTTAGGTCAGCCAACATTTCTGTAAAGAGTCCAGCAGAAAGCATTTTAGGCTTTGCAACTTACGATCCTTGTCGCCAGCAACTCATCCCTGTCTGTGTAACACCAAAGCAGCCTTAGGCAATATATAAGTAAATGTAAGTGGCTTTGTTCCAACTAACTTTATTTATGAACATTAAAAGTTAAATTTCATATAGTTTTCACATATACTGTAAAGTATGTATTTTAACTATTTAAAAATGTAATACTATCCTTAGCTCATGGGTTATTAAAATATAGCGGTGGGCAGGTTTGGCGTGCTGCCCATAGTTGCCAACCCTTTATGTGCAAGGATATTGGTTCTTAGGCTCAGTGAAATGGGGTTTCAGTGTAGGGTTTTCAACAGAACAACAGCATGATAGGTTTTACACTTTCCAAAGATCACTTGGGTGACTATGTTCAGAAGAGAAGGTGCAGGACACAGAACGAGGGAGACCTATTAAGAGGTCAACAGAGAATTCCAGGCAAGAGATGATGGAGGCTGAGTCCGAGGTGGTATTGGTGGAGGGAGAGACAAATGGTCAGATTCTGGATCTGTTTTAAAAAGGGAGCCAGTAGCCTTCCTGACTATGTAGACTGAGTGTGAAATTACAAAGAGGCCGAAAGCTGCCTTCTAAGCAACTTGCAGAAAAATATAAAGATGCTCGAATCAGATTAACCTAGATTCAAACCCCATCTCACCATCAGTGTGACATCAAATGAATAACTCTTTCATGGCTTAGTTTCCTACGAGTGAAATGGGGATGCTAATATTTACTTTACACAACAAGTCAACACTGTAGGGCAAATATCGGGCTTTCAATGGCAGCACTGCACTAGGTGACAAGTGTTTCATATAGGTGTCACAATTAATTCTTCTACTACCCACCAAGGCAGAGTGTGTCATGTCCTCAGTGGGGAGAACCTAAGCTCATACTGCAGACCTCCCAGGATCGTGTGGGCTGTTCGTTGCTGGGCTGAGTTTAAAATTCCCTCCACCTGACTCCAGAATCCATGCTGTTAACCATTATGCTGTGCTGCCTCCCTAGGAAAATTATGATTATTTTTTCATAAAACCAGAAACCAACCCACAAATAACTTATTTAACTGTCAGAGCCTATCTTAAAGCTGGATACAACATATGAGGGGTTAGAAAAAGGAGTCAAAAAAAAAAAACTCACAATAAGTACAGGCTGATATTGAGAAAGGAGCTAAATAAGAAGTAAAAGGGTTGTAACAAGTGTGGACAGGAAAGAAATTTAGGAGAGGGACGTTTTAAGGCAAATAAAACTTCATCTCACATTGGATCTTGATTATCCATGAAAACAATTTCTCTTTTGTCAGAAAATAGGAAGACACAAATTCACCCATTCATTGGATAAATATTCTGGGGTGCCAAGAACCATTGCTGAAACTTAGAAATACAAGCAAATAGCTAGATATGGCATCTGCCCTCTTGAAGAAAGCCTCCTTTGTGATTAATGCGGACTATTTTCAGTGGGCTTAAGAGACCCTCCATACTCTTGCAAAAAAAGAAAAAAGAAAAATCAGAATCACAGAAATATAATTCGATCCCCAAAGAGGAAGAGTGCATTTACTGAAGCTGCAAAAGGAATTTTGTGTTTGCTAATTTCTTAAACAGAGGACTCTGGACAGGGAAGAAGGGAACACTAAATACTAAATTGACTGGATTCTTTCTAGTCACTCCTCAACAACAATGACCACCTGTACAGGGCGCTGCTGTCTCTCAGCCTGTGAGAGCCACAAACCTCAGCAGGTACTGAGGGAATAAGGAGGCAGAGGAGGAAAGAAAAGAGACAAACCAGCACAGTTACAATAAAGAAAGGATTCTCTCAAGGCATGTGCTGATCAAGCTGAGTTTGTTTAATAACGGAAAATATGAATACCAATCTAAGAGAACAAATGGCAAAAAATACTTGAGAATGATATGAAGTATGAAGATGTTTACTTGTGAATATTAGACATTTTGATTTATTTATAATCAAAATATACGGATCTCTACGTGACTGTTGACAAGAAAGAAGAAACTACCTTGAGGAGAGGGTATCATATGCAGGTAGCTCTACTGTAGAGAGAGCCACAGTTTCCTCTAAGTTCTTTATTTTTTTTTTTTCCTTAAAATCTCCGATCACGAGCCGGGCGTGTCCCCTGCTTTCGGTAGTGCTGTCACCCCTGTGCACCTAGCATTGCCTGCTGGCTAGTGACAAGATCTCCTTGACGAGCGGGCCGGGGCCAGTCCCAGGCAGCTCCCCTTTCAGCCTGACAGCTGCGTATCCCAGGTGGTCTGACATTCGAGATGGAGGCTGGGGATAAGATTGAAGGTGTTTTAGGGGAGAAGTAGGCTGTGAATAACACCAAGGCTTCATCCAGATGGAATCACTCATGAGACAACCTGAGATAGTCTATTATGGCCCATATGTCTTCCAGGTCTCCAAAGGCCAGGCTCCATTGATTTATTTGAAACCCACTATTTATCCTTTCAGCTCATCTCACAACAGACTACAGTAAAAGGATCTATCTGAGATGCTGCTGTTTCTGGCCATTGTTGGAATTTTATAAGTTCTTTAAGTAAAACAGCCTCCATAAATATCCTAGTAAACATCAGACAATAAAGTAAATATTTGGGGGTGAGATTCAGTTTATATCCTCTTAATGCACACCACCTTTTTACAAGTTTTCCTTCTGAGTGCAGTCCCATGGCAAAACCTTTCACAGAACATACCTATTTTAGGTAAATAAATAAATATGTGACTCCAAAGAAATGGAAATTACTAGATAAAACTCGGCTAACGGGATTGCTTAAACACTATTTTTCCCTTGTAGATAAACCTTGGAAGAATTATTTCATTATTTTACCAGCACAAACAGTTGTTATTAGTGTATCTTATTTATAGATGGTTCTTTGAGAGACTGTAGTAATATAGCAAAATATCAGTTATTTCATCACACTGGTGAATTTAATGAACCTGAAGGTGTGTGTTATTTTAGCACTTGCTGTAGCTCCTGTGAAAACCCAGTGGTGCTAAAATCTGTAAACCTGTCATTGCTTAAGTAATAACCCTGTTAAAAGCATCTTCATTTAACTTACTTTAGCTTCTGCAGGATGTAGGTTTTATTTTATCAGTGCAGAGGGTAGGTGTTTCAAACCCAAACCACTTATTGTAAATATAATTAATTGTAGTTCATTAATTTATTCTCAGTGTTATTGCTTTTATTTTAACACTTAGGTTAAATTAAATATCGTCTGGAACCTAGTACCCATTTTCAATTTTTTACAAACTCTTAATTTATATTGAATTTCTGTGGTTATAGAAGTAAATTTTAGTCCGCACCAATGAAAATGTTCATTTTAATTTTTAATACTCCTTTATGTGAGGCACAATGGACTCTTACCCTCCCCTATATACAATGTGGATAGGAAAAATAAAAAAAACAAAAAAACAAGTGCATTTTTGTTAATCTACTTGGAATGGACTGGAGTTTATTCTTGCCTTTTAAAAATATGGAGAAAATTGGATATTGATGGTAGGTGTTCAGAATTATCAATTGATTTCTACAAGAGCACATCTACAATTATTGAAATGCTGGCAATAAAAATGGGAACTCCCTCCTATTTAGAACTATTCATGAAAAAAGAGAGAGAGGAAGAAAAGGAGAGACAGAGACAGAGAGAGAGGATGAAAGAGGACAAAAACTGTAATTTGTATAATGACAGCCTCAAAGCAAAAACAAACTTTCTGTCATTACCTAGACAGGCCAACAGCAAGGTGCATAATAAAAGCTATATGCTATCAGCTGCTTTGAAATCCTTGGTTGATTGCAATAACGCAGTCAGTAAATGCTGACACATGCTCTGTTACATGACCACATCTAGAGGAACATTATAAAAGGTGTTGGTGGCTAACCACTGTTTCATTGCTGAGTGATATTACTTAAACAGTCCTGATAGGTAGATTAAAATTTATATCAAATGCTCTTTCCCCAAAAGGTATCAAGAAAAATGCAGGACAGAATTAGTATAATAGGCCCATTTGGGCAAAAATTGAATCCGTCAAGGTGGTTTTGTTTCTGAATCCATTATTTTTAATACCACTTTTTTTTATAAGGTCATGAAATTGTTTGACTTATGTTAAAGCCTTGAAAATTGGTAATCAATATTGTTCATTTCCACAAAAAAATCCTCCAATTTAGCTTGAATTTTAGTGCTTTAAAATATAATAATGATCAGACTGGTTATTATAATAATCAAGGTATCTTGGTAAAATCCCCCCAAATTATAACCCAGATATTGATGTTTTTCTGACTCCTCTAATTATAAATGTTGACTTTAAATTTGGGGCTAGAGAGAGTAAGGAGAAGAAATACACCAAGGACTAAGGTAATTTCTTACGTATCTTCAATACTCAAACTTTAAAAAAAATTTTTTTATTGAAGTACAGTTAAATATTCAAATGTTAAATATTGTTTTCCATTTAATGATATTTGTCTTTTATATGAAGATTTTTAGAATTAATATTCAGATTGAAGTGTGGGTCATTCAAATAATAGGATATTTAAATGTGCGGTGAAAAAGTTTTAAAATTGCATATAT